GACCGCTCCAAGATGGCCGCCGTATTTCCTGCGCCGGAGCAGCCAATGCGGGGTCTACTCTTATATTATGTCTATGAGAGAGAAGAGCCGAACTGAACTAGATGACTGTTAATATTTGGAAGCGTTGCTAGCAGGTAGCGAACGGCTTCGTTCACTTCCTCCGCTCCGTTTCCTAAAACTACAGGTAGACGCAGAAAGTTGACGTCATCGTTCACAACTTCTTCTGTTCGCTGATTGGCCCGGTTGAAATTCAACCTGAGAAAACCGCTTTAATGGGATAAAGCCAGACCAAGCACAAAAACAGCTAGCTTGTTTTTGTTCTTTTCAGTTCATTTTAAACGAAAAAACAAAGTAAATGTTCACGGACCGTGAAGAGTTATTAGAATCGAGCGGAAGTCAATATTCAAGCTAGTATTTTGGGCTAACCTTACGTGTTTCCGTTGGGATTAAATAATTTCTCGGCGGTCTGTTCAGGTGACGTGATCCCCCCGTCAGCCGTCCTGGTCTTCGACGTCCACGTCATCGACTTCCACAACCCAAGCGACAAAGTGGAGATCGAGGTAACCTACAAACCGGAAGTGTGCAACGACACCACGACTCTGAACGACCTGGTCCGCTACCATTACAACTGCACTCTGCTGGACGGGACTCTGCTCTTTTCCTCGTAAGTTTACGCCTGTTTTTCCAGCCTCCGTTTTTGACAAGTTGAGCATGGTTTTCATTTGGACGGCCGGACTTCCTCTAGGCACGACTATGAGAACATGCAAGACGCAGTTCTGGGCCAGGACAAGGTGATCGACGGGCTGGATGAAGGCTTGAGGGGCATGTGTGTGGGAGAGAAGAGGAGAATTACAGTGCCGCCTCACCTCGGACATGGAGAGAGAGGAGGTGAGATTGGAGCAGCCATCTTTGGTTGCGATCACACTGCAGCCTGAAGTGACCCAATTCCTTTTTTTCTCTCTCTTGACATAATTCGACCTGTATATCTTTTCATGACAGTCTGATTAACACAGACTGAGACGCAGATCACTTGGGTATCCGATAGGTATCCGATTCAAATGTGACCGAGCGTCATCAGACCTGAACGTCATCGATGCTCGACAAACGTCACTATTCTGCGTCGGTACGCTCAAGTGGGAAGAAAAAACAAGAATGGCGGACTGTAATAAGAATTAAGTTGTTAATGTGCTGGCTCCGGTCGGACAACAATTTTAAAATCGTAAGCTAAAACCGTTAGCATCCATGTTTACTTCTGCAAACACTTTTTCATGGCGGTTGGTAAAACACTGAGCACGTGTGGTTATTGCGCCCTCTACTGCATATGCGGTACACTTTCAGGTCGTTTGCAGTTCACACTGGAGATCACATACAGGTCGCTTATATTTGGAAGTGTGAATGGTCACGGCAAAAAAAAAAAAAAATCAGATTTGACAAAAGGAATCTGAATTGGGTCACTTTAAGCTTCAGTGTGAACGTAACCTTACATTGAACTTTGACAGGTAGAGAGATCCAGGTGACAGAAATAACTTGATTTTCAACTTTCACTTCCCAATCAGTTGCTCTATTAATCTGTGAAGTTTTGAGCAGTTGAAAAGGAAACTGTTTATCTATAAGCTTATAAGGAATGTATATTGTTAATTTAAGTAACCAAGAGATTGTTATTTTTGAGATGTCCTAAGACTTAAATCTGCAACTCAGAGTTTAACTAAACCAATTGTTGCATAGATTAATATTCATCTTTGGGTTAGATTAGTCTCTCCTGAGGTTTGTATGCACACAGCTTCTACAATCTAAAGTAGGTCTCCTGTTGTCTGTCAGCTGCTGGTGTACCAAGCAGCGCCGTTCTGGTCTTCAGCATTGAACTGGTGAGCTTTGAGCGGGGCGTCCCGCCCGGTTACCTGTTTGTGTGGCTCGAGGAAACTCCGGCAGATCTGTTTGAAACCATGGATATGAACAAGAATGGAGAGGTGCCACTGGATGAGGTATGTTTCCTATAATTCCTCTTTATTTCTTTAAGGATAAAATTAGAATCTGTTCCACACCTGGGTGTATTTGTGGCATATTTAATTACATTTTGCACTGGTAGAATAATTAGCTCACTGTAGACAGACATAATGTAGGAAAAAGTATTTTCTACAATTCTACAAAAGTTTGACTCCACCTGGTGGTGATATTGGGAACAGCACAACTTATTTTAACTACAGTACTTTTCCTGATTTACCTTTTCATCATTTTGCTTCTTTGTCTTTTAGTTCACAGAGTTTATCAAGCTCCAGGTTGCAGAAGGAAAAGGCCGGATAAAGCCGGGAATGACCATGGAGCAGATCGTCGCCGACATGTTCCAGAACCAGGACCGCAACAAAGACGGCATGATCACGGCCAGCGAGCTCAAACTAAAAGTCGAAGAGGACAAGGAACGGGAGCAGGCGAGGCATGAGGAGTTGTGAGGAGGGAAAAAATGTTTGGTTTTCTCTCAGGGATGAAAAACAAAACAAAAGAAGCCACAGCTCGTACGCAGCGTCAGTTTATTTACAGTATTAGATCTGAGAAAAGACGTTGGAGAAACAATTTCTTGTGGAGGATTTTGAGGTTTCTGAAAATAGAGCAAGCACCTTTTTGTCCCTGAATGTTGTAATAAAAAAGTGTTTGTAAAAATAGTTTTTATTTTATATTTTCCACTAACATTACACACTGGACTCATTCATCTTCTGTCAGAATCGATAGCGCTGATGGTAGCACCTGGTTTTTTCTGAGGAATATTTGATTTTTCTTTTTAATATATTTTATCTTTCAAAAAATATCACTGCAGTCAGTGTTCCTTTATGCAATCTAGAACCTTATATTCATGTCTTACTGCAGTGCTCAAGAGGAACCAGTTTTAAATTATAAATTAGCAAAACACAGGTTAATAGTTTAACAGTTTCTGTGCTTGTTCTGTCATTACAGCTTTACAAAAATACTCAACATTGATTGTAATTTTACTTTAACCTTAGCTTCAGCCTTTCAGAAAACCAGTGATGCACACAGTCAGTTATTACAGTCACTAAGAACATGCACAAACAGAACCGGGTATTATACTTCCAGGTCTGAGGTTTGACAACATCGTGTCTCAGACATGACAGAAAACGCATCATGGGCTTCGTTCACACTGCAGACAAATGTGACCCAAATCTGATTTTTATTAAGTAGATTTGAGCCACTTCCATACAATCGTATTCAATGATTTTAATGTGATTATAGTGGGAACAACCGAAGCGTTTTTAAATGCGATTTTAGCTGCTTTTCCTTCGCATTATCAGATTTACAAAATAATTTTCTGAACGGAAGTGTGCCAATTTCGTTTTTCCAATACAAAGATTTGGCCGTATGGAAATTGGTTTATTTTGCAAAATGAGTAACATGAACAACAACCGGATGTTGCCACTGACACAAACCACAAAGACGACGACGGGAAGTAGAAGTAGGACTGCACAAGATTTATTTTTTCTTATAATGTGAACAAACAAATTCACGTGTGATTTTAATTGTGTTTCTTATTTAATAGAAACACAAAAATTGCAAAATTGTAATTTTTCAAAATTCAAGGTCTGCAGTGTGAACTAAAAGCATCACATCACTATGAAGTGTTTTTTTTTTTTAAAGAAACTAAAGGATCATACATAAATTTTTTTTTTTTTAAAGAAACTAAAGGATCATACATAAATTTGGTCTGGTAGTCTTTCAGACTACCAGACCAAATTTGTCGATTAAACAAAATGACATGCTGGTGCTCTCTCCTCAGGTCCGATTTGAGGTAAAAATGTGAGAATGCATCATTTTTCCCGGTGCACCTTACTTATCTCTGATGAGACAATAAATCTCAAGATAGCGTTCGGAACGTCCATCGTCTCGTCCCGTAAAAGCACAATGTCAAACGAGTTCAAGAACGACTCTTTTCTTTCCTCCACCTGACGAGAAGCAAACACAAGATTAACACCTACCTGTTAAACAAAGCACAGGTGTAATAAAAGCTGTAAGTGCTACCTGGTCGTTGAGGAAGCCGACTGTCAGGATGTTCTGCGCCGTGGAGACGCCGTCAGCCATGCTCAGGTCTCCCAGAGAGTCTCCCAGCAGCAGGACGTTGGGCTGACCATGCAGCTCTCTGAGGGCGGCGCCTTGGGACAGAGCACCGGCCCGTTTGTTGTACGAATGGATCAGCTGACCTTTGAAGGCCTGCAGAACCCCCTGTTGGATGAGACAGCACTGAGTTAGTCTCAACTCATTTTACGCTAGGTTTAGGTAAATGTATGGCAAGAAGAAGCAAACTTAATCCTGGACAAAACATTTCACATGGACCATCAAAATTCAGCACAATCTCTCAATCCAAAACAGAGAAAACACACACTAACATTTATTTCCTTTTAATTCATCTAGAGAAACTTCTAGCTTATAATCTTATAAGTATTTATTCCTTAGAGAAACTCCTGTTAGACTTTTACTTCTTTTAGGAACTCCTGTTAGTTTACAAATCTAGAACAAACATGGAAAGTACAATCTACCTCATAAAATCAAACATGGACAACCGACATTTGTTTTATTAGAACAAGAAAACAGAGAAACCCCAACTAGTTTATAAATTCAACTTATTCTTATTAAACATGGGAAACTAATATGTAGTTTTATAGTATTAGCTTTTTGTCTTTCTTTTGGTTTTGTTTGAATTTCCTTCTAATTCAGAAAGAGCACTTTGAACTGCTTTGTTGCTGAAAACGTGCTACATAAATAAAACTGCTTTACATATGGAGAAAGTGCTCAAACACTGTAAAAGTACCAAATGAACATTTTCTACTTGAGTAAAAGTACTTGCTTTTAAAAATGTCTAAGATATTTAAAGTAAAAGTACTTGTTGGATGTATACCCCAATGCAGTGATCATTAAGTGCATATTTTCTTTAATACATTCATAGTGTTGTGCTACTTTACATAAATTAGAGGAAATACAAACAAAAGAAAAACAAAAACTCCACAAACAGGAGTTTCTCTGGATAAACTAATAGAAAAGAAAAGTAGTAAACTACATATTGGTTCCACATGTTCAATAAGAATAAGTAGTCTGTAATTTATAAACTATTAAAGAAATGGCTGAACGCAGCCACAATTAAATCTACCTAAAGTACAGGTACATGAAATGTACTTCAGTAACAAAGCACTTGTACTTCACTACATCCCACTATTGAGAATAACAAAGTACTGTAAATCAAATCTAAGAATAAATATGTAATATTTTAAAATAAAACATGTAAGGTGTGGTTGAACTCACAATGTGGTCAAAGTCCATGTAATTGGAGATGATGTGGACGTTTGGGTGGAAGACGTGGTTCTGTCGGATCACCTCCTCCAGGATGTCGCCTACTCCAGCGGAGAAGATCAGCAGAGGAACGCGTTGCTCTGCCAGGCAGTCGAAGAACGCGCTGCACCCTTCCCTGCAGTCACAAACCCATCAGTCAAGCTCTTCCATCTAAATCGTGCCCCTTCTGCTTCCTGCTTTTATGAATGTTTCTCCAAGAAACTGCTTGGGGTCCATATAATTACAAAATATATAAAATTACAAAATATGTAAAAAAAATATACTTAGAAGTAGACCCTACTTTTAAGTAGGACCTACTTAGAAGTAACCAACACTATTGTTGCTTTTCCATATGAACTTAAACATCCCATCAGCTTTAACACAAATTGTAATCCAGTTCCCAAAGCCTGACGGTATTTAAAGTTTCCTAATCCCAGATTTTAATCAACTAAAATCAAACTTCATTGGTTTAATTTAAAGCTGTTCTTTATATATAAATGTAAACAGTTACTTTACATTCAAATTCACAATATAAGGCTTTTAAAAAGTTTAACCACTGGTGGCACACCAGTGCATTATAAGCCTGGCGGGCCACCAGGCTAAGCGTTGTTCATTTTTTAAGTCTTTTTACAATGTTTGCATTTTTTTAAGACTTTACAGTTGGTGTTCAGGTATTAATCTTACAATCTTTCAATAACACATAATCATCAAGTGATATTGTCAAATTTCCTGTCAACTTTAAACATTTTTTAACTCAAAAACAAGGTGGGCCGCTGGCCGAATGACTTCCCTGGCATCCGACCACCAGGCTTATCAAGTTTTCAGGGGGAAACCTTATTAACCATTACTTTTTTTATTAGTTAAAGGCTATGAAAACCGTACTCTTAACTGTGTCCAACACTTTTTCAAAGCAAGAAAATGATTTCATCTGTCTGGAAATAGTAGAAGAAAAATAAAAGTGTAGAAACAAAAAGAGCGTTAATATAAAAACTATTTTAACGCTGTGTTAATATAGTCAAGACAGGACTGACAAAAACAGACAGTGTGCACCTTTTTCTTTTTAAATGTGCTTTAAACCACTCAGTTTAGCATCAAACTCAAAATAGCAATAAATAAATATAAACACTATGTTATAATTAATTTGTATAATTTGCCATATTCATTTAGCAGAAGTAAAATTATTGTTTTCCTACTTAAGATCAATTAGTTTCTGTTGCTAAGACATCTTAAGGTTTGATGTAGCTGAATTAAAATTACACGAAACGTTTTTTGAGAAAAAAAAAATAAAAAATTCTGGATCACAAATTATTTTCCATTGCTTGTTTTCCTTTCAACAGCAAATCCACAAGCCTGAATAAAATACACACACAGGGAAAAAAAAAATCAAAACAGCATAGAAACCCTGGATTTACAACATCTGACATTAAAAACTATTTTTTTTTAAAGTTTCTCTGAGCTGAGTACCTGAGCACGGCGTTGGAATCCCTGACTGCGCGGGCCAGCTCGTCTTTTCTGATCCTCTGCTGAATCAGCAGGTCATGGACTTTAGTCCACCTGCAGAAAAAAGCAAAGTTCAAGCTTCTTCATCTTTGTTTAGAGCAAAAATATTTACCTCCAATGTTTCAGATACAAGGCAAAAATATAATTTTAAAATTGTATTATAGTTATTTTCTTAAAATATAGGATTCACATTAGTATTCAGAACATAGAAACATCTCAAAAAATCAGAATAGAAAAGTTAATTATTTAAGTAATCTGATTCAAAACTAGGTAGTGCATCAATACCAGAGATGCACCGATCCGATACTAATATCTGTATCGGTCCTGATATTGGAAAAAAAAATTATAGATTGGGTATTGGTGACAATATGTCCGATCTTTAATTCTATGCTTTTTCATTCTGAGCCATGATTTATCTATTTTACATAATATTTAGAATTACTAATTACACTTTCTGAACCATTTGAAAGTTTATTTTTTTATATGTTTGACCAAGCTAGTCAACATATTGTTTCTGTCAGTTTCAGTTTTAAACTGCCTGAGCAAATTAAAGTTGTTTTTACATGTTTCTACCAATCTTTTGAGGCTATTGGTGTATTTAGGTGTGCTGTACTGGGGCAGAATTATCAAATAGTAGGTGATAATATTGTCATAATATAAGATTGTTGCATTAAAATTTCACTTCTATCCATCTTATGCTTTACTCAAATTTTTTGGAATATATAATTCAGTTTTTTTCATTAATTGTTGATCATAATTAGAACTAAAATATTGAAAATATATTACTTTGTAATAGCACAATTTTAAAAATACACACCTCCCTTCCTGAACAGATTTACTGGAATAAAAAAACTTTTTAAGATTATTCAAATTTATTGTGATGTATCCGTATTGTTCTGAGGTTTCATATAAAGCGCAGTCCATGCTAAAACACTTTAATGTTTTCATGTAACAGTCTTTCTTACCACTCCACCATGTAAGGCAGTTTTTCCTCAGGACTGAGGCTCGCATCGATTTCTATGGGATAATATGTGTTAAACAGCTTCTTCATCTGCAGCAAAACAACAAATCATGAACATAAAATTAAACACTAACAAACAAAACACCATGTGGTACATTGGTCTTAACTTTTAAATGATACAAATCAGGATTAGTTGTGCACAAAAACAAGACATTTTGACTTCACTCCACTTTGTTCTTGATGTATGTACATGTAAATATAAATAAAGCAACAAAAAATTACATACTAAAATAAATATGCATATTTGCAGCATTGTTATAACCAGTTAGCCTTACGTTTTGCAACTTTGGTAAAATTACCTTCACTGTGGAGTCGTCATCTATCAACAACCTGTTATTGAGGATGTCTACAAAATAGAAGGAAAATGATTATTACTGAGGACATGCATTTTCACTGTTAAAAGAAAAATAAGCAAGTCAACATAACTTTATAGACTATTAAGACTTAAAAGTTTTGCCTTCTTCAACTTGTCATATGTATTATGGCTTTTTAAATAAATGCTCATTTCATCAATGATCTGATGATCAGAATAAAGTTAAATCAGAAGAATTATATAACAAAAGTCTTGACACATGCAAACAATATCCTAAAAATAATACGTCACCTTAGAGATATTGACATTGTTCTTACTGTGGGTGGTGGGAACTCTTTTCCCCTTGTGTGCAAATTTGGTGAGCGTCATATCAAAATCTGAGATGACCTGTGAAAGCAATAGTAACATAAAATAAAAAGCACACAGCAAATGCATACATTCAGGATAACTCAGTTAAGAAACAAAAACTTCATGCGTTCACACTGCAGAATGATTCCGATATTTTGACGTAATGCATCTGATCTTTTTATGACAGTCTGAACAACACAGGTCGTATTGTTCCGAATGTGACCCTGTTCACTTGGATATCCGATACGTATCCGATTCAAATGTGACCGAACGGCCAGGTCGCACTGATCCGACCTGAACGTCATTGATACTCGACAAACGTCACAATTCTGCGTCCTGATACGCCCAAGCGGGAAAAAACAAAACAACAATAACCATGACGGCCTATAATGAGGATTAAGTTGTTAATATGCTGCTCTGGTTGGACAACAACTTCAAATGTGTAAGCTAAGCTCCACCGTTAGCCTCCATGTTTACTTCCGCAAACACCGAGCTCTTCTTTTTATGATGGTTAGCACTGAGAACGCTGACGTTATTGCGCCCTCTACTGCGCATGTGGGACACCTTCAGGTCGTTTATAGTTCAACCTGGAGATCACATACAAGCCGCATATATTTGGAAGTGTGAACGGACACGGCAAAAAAATAATAAAATAAAATAAAAATCAGATTTGACAAAAAAAATAAAATAAATTAAAAATCGGAATTGGTTCACTTCAGGATGCAGCGTGAACGTAGCCAAAGACATGATGGCAGAATTTTCATTTGCAACTTTTCAATTAGAGATAATTAAATTGAGATATAAAGAGTTTCTCCCCAGTTGTTCAAGCATAGCAAACAGAGTTAGGATAAAGTTCTCTGAGGAATAATTACTAAACAGAACCGATTAAAAGTCAACACATATTTCTTTATAATTAAAGAGCGCCACCTGCAAGCTGCCTGCTCCTGCTTTCTGCATGGCGTACATGGTGTCCTCCACTCTGCTGCGCTCTCTCATCATCACTGAAACCCTAGTCAGCTCAGGGATCTGAAAACAAAACCATCTTCTTACAATCTATGTTGACCTTTTTCTATTACAAAAAGGCACTAAATTCCTCACCTCAGTTTTAGTCAACTGGTGCCAGATTGCCAAGATGGTCCGCACTGGTGTGTAGATCCAGGGAATATGAAATACCTGCATGAAAATAAAAGGGATAAATACAGTCATCGTTCTGATCTGACAAGTTTTTCTCTGTTCAAACTTTTCTAAATGTTCATTTGTTATTTCAGACCGGTAGTAAATAATTTATCTAAATGTGAAGTAGTTGGATGCTCAGTTGTTAGCTCCTAAACCTGTTGATACTTGGCGTATTGCCAATATTTATAATCACTGTGTGAAAATACTATGTTGTTTATTAACAAATTAAACAATAATGAAGTAAACTGTCTGCAAGGCAGACAGCATGTTGCCTACACAAGATATAATACTGAAAAAAAAAGTATTTTCAAATGTGAATCAGAGAAATTCTGAAATGTCTTTAAAAAATATAATAAAATAAATGAAAAATAATACATAACACTTATTCTACAGTCTGTAGTCGTTAGAATCAATTTGGGTAAATAATAACATATACCATTAAGCAAATAGTTAACCTGTCAAATACCTTATAGGCTCCAACACAAGTAAAAGCAAAAAGTAGCTTTCCAAAAAAAAATAAAAATACTTAAGTAAAAAAGTATGATAAAAAAGCATACTCAAATACAGAGTAACTAATCATAAAATCTGATTAAATATTTTAAAATGGTGTCATCAGACAAAATACAATAAATAATTTATTGAATACGACTACATGCTTGTTCTTTTTTCGTTGAAGTTACTTGAATTGGATAGACTAGTGACAAGTGATAGTGAAGAAAAATGTTTTTGAGCTTATCTGCTCCAGCTGACTTAAGCATTGCCCTGCTGTACTCAAAATCCAAAACCAAAGAAATACAATTAGAAAAGCGTGAACTGGTTAAAATTTAACTGTCTGTTATATGCATGACTCATTTAGTATTTAAAAAAAAAAAAAAAAAACAAAACTTTATTTACACTGGTTATCTCCAAATTGCTAGCGTTCCCAGTGGGGAAATTCATGTACAGTTTTTGCTGGAAAAAAAAAATATTTATTTTATTTGCAACAAAAATATATCATATTTTAAGGTAAAATAGCGCGTTGCATTTCGATATTTTAATAGCCGAAATAAACAAATACTTCCGTACGCTGCTAAGGTAGCAGAGATGCTAACAGCTGTCCGTTACGTTACTTACCATTTTTAAACGGAAGTGTGACGTGTCAGTCGCGTGCTAACCGTTCTTCCAAACAACCGCTAAATGTCTCAACATGGCGTCAAGTGCAATCGTCGAACTTAAAATGAGAAATAAATTTTAACAATCTTCTTCTTGATTGCATTCTTGTGTGTTACACCAACAAAAGTCCCTTCCTTCCCCAGTCCCACGATATATAGTTCCGAGGGAACCATTTCTTCTCAAGAGAAAAAAAAGAAAAAGAAGTTGATAATAAATGTAGTCAGTGATACCTTCCATTTATTCCAGTAAATCAAAAGTTTGATTTCTACAGAAAGGTCTGTCTAGCAGCTTTAAAGTATTTTGATTTCAGAACCACAGAAACAGTAGTGCAAAATGGGCAGCAACTGTTAGTTTTATGAAGTAATTTCAAAGGTGTTATTGCCAGTCTCATATTTTTAATATAATATATTTTTGTTTGGTTTAGAAATGTGATTACCCAATTTTAAGGAGGTAGGACGTAGTAAAAGTTTCTCATAAAACGCTTTAAACAAACTGCTCCAGGAGGACTTCATTCCCGAACTGCATTATAGACAAATTATTTTACCGATTGATTAAATTCAGTTTCACAAAATTAGGTTTAGTAGAAAGTTAAAAAAAAAGTTTTTAATGAATAAAATAAGTCAATTCAGAATATTGGCAGTTACTTTATTGTGGAAAACCTCAGTGAGATTGTAAAATTAAAGACATATTTATTTTCCCCACTTATTTTCCTCAAAACACACTTAACATGAAGCAAAATCACCAAACAAATGTTGCCAAAACCACAACTCCAACACACCTCAGAATTTATATTTGATTTATTAGCATTGTGACACAAACACACCCATTAAGACATCTTCATCCTTCGAGAATCTCATTTTTAGTGGTGTAGTAGCATTTTAATCTTCACACAACAGTTTTGAGTGCAACAAAACTCCAGCGGAAATTTTTAAGAACTGAAACATAATTTGTGAACAGGCACCAAAAAAATGAGATGCATTGTAAAATTCGGCAAAAAAAAAATTTTTTTAGAAACAATCCCTAATTTGAACACACAATCAGCACCAAGATATCTCAACCATCAAATAAAACAAAGAAGTGCAATGAAAAAAAGAACATTGTAGTAATAATAAAATTACTTCAGTAAAAAGTTTATGTATATATACTTTTTTGAATTATACTTGTATATATGAAAATATCTTATTACTTTATAATCTAACATTATTTTTAGTCATGGCAGTTTTATAGGTAACATAACATCAATCATTTATACCTTGACATTTATTACAATAAAAGCAGTCTTCCTGCTGGTTTCTAAAGTTTAAATCTGAATGTTAAGCTAAACAAAAATAAAAACAAAAACAGGAATGTTCTTAACTTTTTAGGAAATCTAAATTTTTATATATCCTGGCACTCAGTTACATTATTAAGAGACATTAAAGTAAGCTTTAATTACTATGGACATGACACTGAACATGTAGCACAAGTGGATATCCGTTTATCTTTTAATCTAGAGTCTGAATAGTGTAACTTTTATTTAAAAAAAAATTTTTTTTTTACATATTTGTTGGTATGAGAATCTGTTACAAAAAAAATTGAGCTCTACTGATTTCTCCCACTAGAAACAACCAATCAGAGCCAGGAGGCGGGGCTTAGCGCTGTCAAACACCCTTCATGTGGCTCTGCTCTTGCTCTCTGCTACGCTGCAGCTAGTATAGCATGTTGTGAATGCTAAGGCTAGTTAACGTGGCAACCGCTAACAGTTTTCTTGTAATGATAAGCCGTTTCTCCGCCATTAGCACATTGAGCAGCAAGTACATGAGATTGACTGACAGCGCTAAGACCCTCCTCCTGTCTCTGATTGGTTGTTTTCTGTCTCAACTGACAGTTTTAATATGTAAAAAAATAAAGTTTTTAAATAAAAGTTACATGTTACAGCTTTAGAGGGAGTTATAGATTTATCTCTCATTCTATCATAATAAAAAAAATAAGATTCATCATTGTGAGAAGGCATTTATCTGAAGATAAAGTGCTAATTATTCACTGGACAATCTTTAATCCTTCTTTAGCATTCGATCTGAGAGTGCATCTGTCTCCGCCTGGTGAGTGTGAGTCGGTGCATCTGCTGCATTTGCTGCATGCGGTCTCGTTGGCGCGCTAGGTTCTGCGGCATTGGGTAGCGCTGGCAGCCACGCAGGTATCTGTACGGGATGCGAACGTGGCAGGCCGCTGCGCGGCAGCGCGGCTGAGGCAGTGGCGGCAGCAGCGTCCAGCGCTTTTTGTCGGCGCAGTAGCGGTACGCCTCCTTGCGGTACTGCTTGTCCAAATTGCTGCTGTTCCTCCAGCCTCCGATGATGAAGACATCCTCACCAAGGAAGCAGATGGCGGCTCCTTCCATCCCAAGCACCTCTGCTGGGAGGCTGCTGAGAATCTCCTCCGGGATGATTCTGCTTACTTTCTGCTGAGCGGCCTCAAAAGTTGCCTTGTAACTTTTGGGGCAGCAGGAAGCAGTGTGGTAGAAGGTTGTGGATGAGACGGCCATTTGGAAGCTGCAGTAGCTGTCAATCAGAGGTAATGAGTGAACTTCCTGCCACCTGTGACTCTCTGTGTCGTAGCACATGGTCACAGTACTCAGTCCATCGTCATGGTCGATGTCTTCAGGCGTCCTGGCCATCACATACACATATCGATCCTCTACAGTCACTGTTTTTACGTCTCGTAGGATCTTCGGCGCCGGCTCAAGGCTGATCCACTCATCCTGCTCCGGCTTATAAACGGTGACATCCTTAAAGCCTGGGCTGAAGTTACCGTGTCCCCCAATGCCGTAGAGGACATCCTTGACGCCCATTAGGCCGAATGAGTGCTTCCGCGTGGACAAGCTGCTGACATCCTCCCAGGTATTGAGGCTGGTGTTGTAGCGCTCCACCATCTTGGCAAAGCCAGGCTCCATGGAGCCTGCCACATAGACGTGGCCCTCGGTGGCCGCGATGGCGTGGCCGTCCAGGTGGTTGTGAATGTGCGGTAGATTGATCCAACGATCCTCTGCGACAAAGTAGCCAACGCATTCGCTGAGGTACTCTCCGCCTTCTGAGACTCCACCTACCACCATGATCACGTCCATGTTCTGGCCAAGGCGCGGATGAATGGCCGCCATGTAGGAGGTACTCTGATCCAAGTTAGCCAACTTGAGGCCCTCCGAGCAAACTGCGTGAAACTCCAGAGCGTCCACCACCAGCTGCTGGCACTCTGCCCTGTTGGCCACTAAGGGCTCCTTTCTAACCACACGCGTTAAGTCGGTTGGAGAAATCTGCTTCAGCCTCACGAGCTTGAACAGCTCTTCAAAGAATCGCACCCGTTCCTCCGGGTTTTGGTGGACCCATTTCACGATCGCTTCAAACAGCTGCTGCTCTGAGTCCACAGTAATTTCCGAGTCCAACATCCAGTCTCTCACCAGATGAAACGGAAGAGTGTAGAACTCGTCGTTGGAAATGACTTTCTGGAAGTTTCTTCTGATCGTCTCGGCAGCTTCCAGAGCCAGTTGGTTCAGGCTGTACATGTGAGCCAGGCTGTGCACAGCTACACAGTTTGAAAGATTCAACTTCTTCACCAGGAACTCGGCACAGAAGCTCTTCAGCTGATCCAACAAGAACCTAAGAAGAAGAAGAAGTTAACACTTTAACTATTTCAGTAGGTAACATTGGGTAATGATCCATCTTGGAATCTGGAGAATCTACTATAAGTTTATCTAGAGAAACTACTCATTACCTTAGATCAACATTTAGCATTAAATGTTTAATATTGGAGCAAGGCCACCTAAAGAAACTCCTGTTAGCTTACAAATCTAGAACAAACGTAGAAAGTACAATCTACTTTATAGAATCAAACATGGAGAACCAACATCTAGCTTTATCAGAACAAGAATCCAGAGAAACCTCTACTGGTTTAGAAATTATGGACTACTTATTAAACATGGGGAACAAATATGTAGTTTTATACTTTTATCTTTCTTTTGGATTTGTTGTTTTGTTTGTATTTCCTCTAATTCATGTAAAGCACTTTGAACTGCCTTGTTCCTTAAAATGTGCTTTATAAATTAATATTACCTTACCTTAACTATACTGATGACGATTAATATTATATGTTGATGATTTTAATAATAACACTTGACAAAATGCAGTGGTTGTTACTGGTTTCACAGCTGCTGACTGTTTATGATGTTGTCTCAATGTTTTCATTGTGTAAAACACTTAACTGCATTTTTGCTGAAAAGTGATATGCAAATAAACTTTACTGATTAATTTAGAAAGTGATTAATCTTTAACTAGAGTATACAAACTGCAGAAAACGCCATTATGCTGAAAGACATTAAGGCTTAATTAATGATCAGTATTGTTTCCCCCCCCAGCAGTTTGTAATCTTTATACTTCAGTTAACATTTAATCGCTTACTACACTATTTTTTAAAAATCCATTCAGATTAATTGTGAGCCCGAGCATTCTCTATATAAAAGATTGTTTTAGATAAATAATGTCTTTAGTCAGAGGCTTCTTGAAATTCGCTGTAATACAGACTGCTACAGGAGCTCTTTCCTGCCAACAACAATTTTATGAAGAATCTTGAATAATTTGAGTTACAACATTTCATTTTCCTTTGGGATCCATAAAGTATTTTTAAATTGAATTGAATTTTTCCCTCAAATCAACACAACTGGACAATAATCCCAAGAACAACCTGGTTTTGTAATGAATAAAGCAGCCTAGCACTAAGCTAACATTAAGGTTTCTTCTCAGTGGACTTTTGGATGCATCGACTTCCACTCTACTAATGGAGCATGGTTAAAAGTAGGGTCAAAGATGGCGGAATAATTCCGCAAAATGTCAAAAACTGAAGAATTTTAACTAATATGAGTCACAACAGCATTTAATTTCACTTTGGTATCAATAAAGTATTTTTGAATTAAGCAACAGTTACCTGTCAGCTAGTTCCAGCACATCGTGAACATTAGCGTTGGTCACCCGAACCTCTCCCGTGTACATGAAGTGTATGACCGCCTCCACGGTCTCCGGGTCGGGCCCCGCCGCGGAGCTCCACTCCGTCAGCTCCACTCTCCCGGTCCGCGACTCCGAGAACTGTCCGCCCAGCAGCAGCTCGAAATACTGCGAGGCCGCAGACAGGACCGTGCGGTGGGCAGGTAAGGTCAGGACCCCCTCCACGCCAGACGCGCCCCTGGAGCTGAACACCAGGGTCAGGTCGCAGAACAACCCCGCCTTCCTCTGCTCGTTCTGCCGGCGGGAGAGCTCCGAGCAGTAGGTCGGGCAGGTGAACACCTCGGCCTCCTCAGGTTCGCCATCACCTGCGGACAGCGGCGCGGAGGCTCCGCCGCAGCCGCCCTCCTCCGCCGCTGCTGCCATCCCGACGCAAAAACTCAAGGAAAGATGGAAACTCTTGGCTATCTTCGGCAGGAAATCATAGGTGTGCATAAAACAGGTCAGCAGGCATTCAGAGACTGTCATGCACGCGTCGGGTTCAATCAGAGGCTTGATTGAGGAAAAACAACAACAACCCCTCACTTCCGTCTTCAAGAATATTCCAAATACAGGATATTATCCCCAGAAAGTCGACGGCAACCTCACAGATTCAAGCTTTACTTACAAAAGAGACTAACGTACCTTCCGCGAATACAGTAAAATTCAAGTCCTTGTCTATTTCCTGGAGGTAGCAAACCTTCAACACGTCCTAAATTCAGCGAAGTTTACCTTTCTGGATACACCGGTTTTGCGCATGCGTGTTGTTGCTGTGGTCCAACTGAAGGTGATGTGGACTTTCGTGTATTTTCAAACAGCGCGGAGGAGCAACACGGGTTGTTATCACGATTACAGCAGATCTTTGATGCAACATATTTGGAAAATTAAAAGTACGCTGCGCACTGGCAAGAGTCTCAATTTAATCATGTTAAATAGAAATAGTATTCTTAGCATTTATTTCTGCCTTATTTTACAGCATGTGTCAAACTCAAGGCCCGTGGGCCAAACCCGGTCCGTCATAGCTTTTTATGTGGCCCTCTAGATTCTAGACTAAACACCAAGTATGCTTAAATATTATTTTATCAATCAAATCAGTGCAGCTTTTATCAATTTACTGCCAAATTATATCAATCATTCCCTCCAGTTTCTTGAGAAATATTGTGGAAATTCACACATAAATCAACAAATCCCCACACTTTTTTGTGCCAATACATAATTGAGAGTTTATTGTAGATTTCTCAAAGTTGTCAAAAACTTTACTTGTACTAAACAGATGCCTCAGTCTTAATATCACATTGTAGGCCATGATCTGTGCACCCTTACAAATTTTTAAGAAAAATATGAAAAGTGTGCCATGCATTTGCCTTAAACCCACCTTTGCAATGTTGTGACCTTTTTAAAATTATTTTTGGCCAGATGGGATTTTTGCAGAAAAAAAATATCACCACTTCTTCTATAATAAAATATTATAGGAGAGAAAAAAGGCCATTATTTTAGAATATTTAAAAACAGACTCAATGTTGATGGCACTAAAAGTCAACTTTTGGAATAAGAGGAGGAAAATCTACCCAAAAATAAAATGCATTAAGTTTATTTTATTCACTAGTGGTTCAAAACAAAAAAAAAGAGATTGTGTGAAACCCCATTTCTTTTATATAGATGGACCCATAAATTTTGCTAGACAATAAATTGTTCCAGAAGTTACTGCAATAAGCAATGTTGTTTTGACACCATTTTTAAGTAATATAATGGTAATGGCAAAATAATATTGCAAGAACAGATTCTCAGAGATCAGTAAACATTTAACACTGGAACTGGAAGACATTTTAAATATCCAAAATAAATAAACAAAACAAATAGAATGAATTTTGAAGTCTTTCTAAACAAAGTTGTCCAAATAATTTAAAAAAAGGGCTATTTGAGTCCAAAGCACCAAATTGAAGACTTTTACCATCCAGTTTTTGGTAGAAAGAGAGAGAGAGAAAAAAAGAGAAATGATAAATCATGCCAATGGAAATTGAGTTTGTTTTAATTTACCATACAATTAATTGATTTATTGATTGTGTCAACCCTTTACATACACACTATAACATCTATTCTACCAACATAATTTTATTCAGAACATAAAACAATTCACCAGAGAAGAAGAGTTTAAAATAATTTCTTTATTATTGAACCACTAAGTGTCAGCATATTACAAAAACAAAGCAGTTTTCACAGTTAAATAAAATAAGCAAAATAAAGACTGAACACGGCAGGCGTTACAGAATGTTACAGGTTGGTCGGGACTTCTCAGCTGCACGTCGTCCACAAATAAGGCAAACTGCTTTCATATTCCCTCGCCTCAAACATTCACAGGCGCTTTGTTCTCCTGGATGGTTCTACATGTTACCGTTTTGTTCTTCAGGTACCGCAGCGCAATCAGCGTCTGATTCACATTAGCATCCAACCGTTTGTGGATCGATCGGGGCTGTACACGTGGTTTTTACTCCAGGAAAGGCTTTGACTCCTTAAATGTTCAGCTCCCTTACTTTATAATGATTCTTCACTTTTATAGACAGATGTTTTAATAAAAACATTTCACCAAAATTATCTTTGGTTTAATAGTGGTGATAAATCTGGAGAAGATTTAAAAAAAAAAAGACAAAAATAATTGCTAAGGTGCGGCGCTTAAAACCAAAAAGCTCAATTCGGCACTTGTTTAAAAAAAAGCCTGACGCAGAAAAAAACTAATTACAGTGAATGATGGTTAATGTGCATAAGAAGTATAAAAAGCATTACTGTATTGCTGAGCTTGAACAGATTTTAACATTGGCTGCTGTTCATGCAATTTAACCATCCAATACTTTCCAGCCAGTTGGAAATACAATGTTTTAAATCAGCTCCCCAAAAACAGATCTCTCTGCTTTTCTACTTAATTTCAAAGTCTATTGAGTTTTATTTTCATACTGTCCATTGGGTTGACATTTTTCTCCCCCAAAAAGAAAAAAAGAATAAGTTACATGTCTAAATTTGTTAAATATCCCAACAAAACTAAATCTAAAAATATCTGTCTCCCCTTTTCCTTTTAAAAAGTAAAATGAAAATGCCTAAACAGATCCTTAATTGGTGCGTATCTCAACGTTCCCTCCCCCAGCGGCAGCGGCGGCCATTAACCGTAACGTTAATAGCTCCCAACCCATTAACGTTTCTCCCAAACCGCCACGCCGGTCAGCGAGCGCCAGGATGAGATGTTCACATGGACATGTGTTCAGGAAGCACGTAGGAGATGTCGTCCCACGGGTGGCGGTACAGACCCTGCTTCAGCCTCTTCTGGTCCAGGTAATGCCCTAAAGAGGAGGAAAAGTTCATTATAAAGAGGATAGTTTGAACCTGGGTAGCGGTTTTTTTATTATTATTATTGAACGGGACTCACCAATGAAGCCCATACTACGGCCGAGAACGAAGATCCCATTCAGAGCGCCGATCTCCACAAATTCGTCGGCTTCATCCCTGGAACCGGTTTAACAGTCAGGTGAGAAACAGGAATCAAAGTCAAATTTTATCCGTGTAGCACATTTCAGCAGCAAGGTAAAAAAAACATCATAAAAACAAAGTCAGAAAAAACAGTCAACAATTAAACATCAACTTTTACCATCATTACACATCAGATTATTGATTATTAATGTTTAATGATTAGTTTTCAAAAACTCTAATGAGGTGGGTTTTTAGTCTAGACCAGTGTTTCTCAACCCTGGTCCATCTTTGTTCCATCTTTTAATGCTTTAATAATGTAATATAAAAAAGGTTCAAGTGGTTAAATGTGCAGAATGTGCAAATTATTTTTCATAAAAACATAATCCTTTATTAAAATAATTGTTATTTGCAGCCACATAAGTAATTCAAATTATGTAAAAAGTGAAATAATTTAATGAGACATGCGACAATTTAAGAAAAAAAATAAATTTTGCAGATGAGCCTGTGTTCAGATTAGAAACCTTTAGCTACACATTCTGTTCCTCTGGTTTACTGCAGAGGAACAGCGACCCTGGACCCGCCGTCCAGGAGCGACCCTGGATGCCGACATGCAGGATGCCGACCCTGAAGGGCATGTTTAAAACACCAGAACTAAAATCGTTCATTTGCAGAACCTCTGCAGAATTTTGTGTCACTTGATTTGCATTTCCATTTGAAGCGGCTGCATTTGAGCAGAGATGCTGTTAAAAACCGAAGGACGCGTTCCCTTGAGGACTGGAGTTTGATTTCTGGTTCGATCAGGATCGTTTCGTCTTACCGTGTGAAGCCTCCACAGGTTCTTAGCAGGTCCACAAAGGAAACGCCAATAAACCCGTCGACATTCAGGATCAAATTGGGTTTCTAGAAGAAAAAAAAAAAAGCAATAAAAGTATTGATTTTTTTGTAATTAGTCATTTATGACAGTTTTTCTTGGTTCAAAACGAATAAAAGCGATAAAATTTGTACATCAGTAGAAATCTGATATAAACTTTTCAATCAATACTAAACTGAGCATTTTAAGTTAATTTAGGACATTACTTTTTCTTGATTTTATTTTATACAAAACAAAAATAAATTCTCCTTCATTAGATTTCAGCATCAAAATGTCCATTAAACCAAATGAGACGTATATTTTTTCCTGAAGTACCTTGGAAGTAGTGATCTTCTCCACCTCTAGTGCGTAGTCTAGCAGCTGGGTCGACGGGAAGTGCTGCTTCACAAAGTCCTTCAGTATCTGGACTCGCATGTCCGGATTGTTGATCTAAAAACAAAATGAACTGCATTCAGTTTTCTGTTTGAAACAGTCGCTTCGATTCATCAAAATTACCGTTGATGCCATTTGTCACGATTAATTCTGCTGGACGACAAACTGCTCCAGAAGTTACCGCGATAAACGGTAATATTATCGTCTTGAGACAATTTTTAAGGTTTCCCCCAGAAAACCTGCTAAGCTCAGCGGGTGGATGCCAGAGCAGTCATTCATAATTTTTTATCTAATTTTTGAGAGAAAAAATGTTTAAAGTTTACAGGAAATTTCAAAATATCACCTGATAATTATGTGTTATTGGAAGATTGGGAGAGTAACACCAACGATAAAGTCTTAAAAAATTTAAACATTTTAAAAAGACTTAAAAAAAAAAAAAAAACACTTAGCCTGGTGGGAGCAGAAGTAAAGCTTGGCAGCTTATAATACCATTATCAGGGTTTCCCTCAGTGTAATGGCAAAAACACAAGAACACATTCTGAAAGATCAGTAAACTTTAAAGTCTAATAAGCATTTAACACTGGAGCTGGAAGACTTTTTAAATATCCAGAGTAAATAAACAAAACGACAAATAAAATGAATTTTGAAGTCTTTGTAAACAAAATTGTCCTAAAAAAGAAAAAAAAAAAAACGCTAAATGAGACTAAAAAAGTGAAGAGTTTTATCACCCAGTTATTGGTAGAAAGAGAAAAAAAGATAAATCATGCCGATGGAAATTATTGAGCTTGTTTTAATTTATCATGCAATTAATTGATTTATTGATTATTGTGACAGACGTAGTTAATAGTCATAATCAAGAGCATTGTTGAAAACAGGAAGTGCTTACCGATTTGACCCTGTGGCCAATGCCCATGATCAGCTTCCCGTCTTTCTTCATCTTGTTGACGAACTCCATGGGCAGCATGCCGCTGTCGAACGCCTTGCTGAACTGCTTTGCTGCTGCATCCAGAGCGCCTCCAAAACGATCCCCCTGATCACAGAGATAGATTTTGTTTTAGTGATGCTCTTACAAGCAAAACACAAAATGTAAATGAAATTGGTCAACAGCCAAAAAACTGTCTGGTGTTTTTCAACTGTTTTAGGGTAATTTTGATGAGCTGGATCCAAAAAT